GCCTCCCAAGTAGCTGGGACCACAGGCGCTCGCCACAACGCCCGGCTATTTTTTGGTTGCAGCTGTCATTGTTTGGCGGGTCCGGGCTGGGGATTCAAACCTACCACCTTAGGTGTAGGTGGCTGGCGCCTTAGCCTGTTGAGCTATAGGCGCCGAGCCCATTTTTTCTTTTCTTTTGAAACAGTATCACTATGTCGCCCGTGGCGTCACAGCTCACAGAAACCTCCAACTCTTGGGTTTATTCTCTTGCTTCAGCCTCCAAGTAGCTGGGACTACAGGCGCCCACCACAACGTCTGACTATTTTTTGTTGCAGTTGTCATTGTTGTTGGATCCGGGCTGGATTCAAACTTGCCACCCTCGATGTATGTGTCCAGCGCCATAACCACTGTGCTACGGACACCAAGCCCCAAAATACATCTCAAATTTGACTTACCTCCTAGATTTCTGCCCCCACCTGAGTCTGGGCTGCTATCATCTCTTGCCTAGTTATAGCTGCAACTTCCTTTTTAGAATCCCTGCTTCCACCCTTGACCTATAATCCAATCTCCACATGGCAGCTAGGGGAACTTTTCTTTTTTTTTCTTTTTTTTTTTTTTTTTACCATAATCACCAATTTTACTAAGTCTCTTAAATAGGTTCTGCATCAGTTTGATAATGTCACATAATTTAGACACATTTTAAAAATAGAATACTAATTACATCAATTTCCCATCAACCCACTAAAGTCATTCACTAATGATTATATTGGCCATTTCCACTGATTGGCAGGAGCCTCTTCCACTAACGGCTCCCATGGTTTCCATTGCATCATTTTTCTTGCCAGACTTAGTTCATGTTCAGCCTGAAGAATCACCTCTTCTATTTGGCCACCCTGAAGTTGGTCTTCTAATTTGTTAACATCTGGTTTTGCTTTAACCATAGCCAGCTTCTCATTTGTAATCTGTTCTGTATACTTTCTATATGCTGCATTTTTAGGGATTTGCTCAAGAACATCAAGAATCTTTGTATACAATATCCTTAGCCTCTCGTGTGGAGTCTCACATACGGCCAATCCCACAAGGCCAGTAGTCTTCTTCAGCGCACCGGCCATGACAGCACCCGGAACTTTTCTTTTCTTTTCTTTTCTTTTTTTTTGAGACAGAGTCTCACTTTATCGCCCTTCGTAGAGTGCCATGGTGTCACACACAGCTCACAGCAACCTCCAACTCCTGAGTTTAGGGGATTCTCTTGCTTCAGTCTCCTGAGTAGCTGAGACTATAGGCGCCCACAACAACGCCCGACTTAGTTGGGGCAGGGTTCAACTCCTCCACCCTCAGTTTGAACCCACTAGCTTTGGTGTACATGTCATGCACAGACACTGAGCTTCAAGGGATTCTCTCTTGCCTCAGCCTCCCAAGTAGCTGGGACTACAGGTGCCCACCACAATGCCTTTTTTTTTTTTTTTGAGACAAGAGTCTTACTTGGTCATCTTTGATAGACTGCTGTGGTGTCTTAGCTCACAGCAACCTTAAACTCTTGGTTTCAAAGCGATCCTCTTGCCTCAGCCTCGCAAGCAGCTAGGACTGCAAGTGCGAGCCACAACACGTGGCTAGTTTTAGAGAGGAGGTCTTGCTCTGGCTCAGGATGGTCTCTAATTTGTGAGCTCAGGCAATCTGCCCACTTCAGCTTCCCAGAGTAATAGGATTACAGGTGTGAGCCACTGCACCTGGCTGAGAGGATCTTTTCAAAACAAGAATTTGGTCTGGGCATGGTGGCTCATGCCTGTAATCCTAGCACTCTGGGAGGCTGAGGCAGATGGATTGCTTGAGCTCAGGAATTTGAAACCCTGTCTGAGCAAGAGTGAGACCACATCTTTACTAAAAATAGAAAAACTAGCCAGGCATGGTGGCACATGCCTGTGGTCCCAGCTACTTGGGAGGTTGAGGCAAGAGGATTGCTTGAATCCAGGAATTTGAGGTTGCTGTGAGCTATGATGATGCCATGTTATTCTACCTAGGGTGACAGAGTGAGACTCGGTCTCAAAACAAAACCAAACAAACACAAGAATTTGGTAATGTCTTTGCCCTGCTTAAAATGAACAGCTTCCCATTAAACTTGAGAGTCAAAACCATACTGCTGGCCATGGCATGCAAGGTCCTACTCCTTGTTGCTCTAGGTGGCCTCTCCAGCTTCTCCTTCCCCTACTTTGGCTCACTAAGCTCCAAGTACTCTGGTTTCCTTCCTGCTCCGCATTCATTCCCCTTTGGATATGCTGAGGAAGGAGTGAAACTGGATATAAAGCCCGTAGGACACAGTGGCTGCTGGTGGGTATGCACAAGAAAGACCTGGAAGGGCATTTGCAGAAGTAGGGAGCTGAGCTTTACTCCACTCACCATAGCAAAGAGGTTGTCATAGCCTTTGACCTTTGTAGGCACCTTTGAGAACTTCTGGTCAAAAGCATCTGAGATGTTGTGGGCTGGGTCTGTGGAGATTATCAGAACACTCTCTCGCCCCTTGGAGAGCTGTACTGCCAGGCTGCAGCTGGACAAAAGAAAAGTTGAAAGGTGGTGGGAAGTGAGACGCTGGTCTCTGTTTCCCCGGTCTAAAAGGGGAGAGATAGGGTCCCAGAAGCAAGTGACCCAGATCAACAAGGGCCTGGAGAGGAGAGCATGGGTCACTATGGGATCAAGCCTCAATCCCTGCAGGGGAATCCTTTCAGACCATACCTACTGACTCCTCTTATATGGACTAGTGTAGTAAGGTTTAGCTGATTGAGTCCATCTGGTCTGGTCCTTGGTTCTTCCTTACTGGGCCAGCTGTCTAGACACTATAGCTTGACTCTGTGCCCTCGCCCTCAACTCTCAGCTAAGGGGTCTCTTGAACTCCCTGTTAAACTCCGAATAGTTCAGTCTACTTGTCCAAAACAATTTGCCCTATCGACCCCTCCTCCCCACAGCTGACCAGGACAGGTTGATACTGTCCCGTCTCCTCAGCCATCTACCACCAACCTCGCTCTAGACATAAAATGGCAAAGTTCACGAGACTAGGACAGCTTGCACTGGTGTCCTTCCCCCTGTTCTGAATTCACCCGGGTACAGTCCGATGATTGAAACATCTAAGTGCGTTCCCTCCCTCCACCTGCCTCCCCCTGCACTGGATTCATTGTGATTCAGCACTTGCGCTCCCAACAGAGATGGTCAAACTCAGAGGCTTGCACTGAGGCGGTACTTTCCATTTGCTCCATGTAACTTCCAGAGAGTAACCCCGGCCGCTGCCTCAGCCAGCTTGCCCCGCTCGGAGTGCAAAAGCCGGTCTTTGGCCTCCCCTTCGCCTAGTGGTACATCCCACCCGCCTTCCCGGCCCACGCCGCTGCCTCCTTACCTGCAGGTGGTCTTGCCCACGCCACCCTTGCCCCCAACGAAGATCCATTTTAGGCTGCGCTGTTCGATGATGTTGCTAAGCGTAGGCTCCAGCGGCTCCACATCAGGCGCATCCTCGAACTCCTCCGCCTCAGCCCCCCACCCGGCCACCCCTGCCGCCATCTTGGAACCGGCTCACGTGATCATGCGGAGCGCACCACGCAACGAATGTGCAGGGGAAATCTTCTATCACATCCCTATCGAGGTTAGGAGTCTAAATTACTTTCCTATATCTTGCCTTTTAGGAGCAAACAGAAACTACATATTCACTGTTATCTGCTTCCAGGGTTCACTTCGTCAATCTTTGGCCTATATCTTTTCTAAGGACTCCCCTTGCCTAATGAACATATTGGTACTGTTCAATCTACTCCCCTTCAGTGATTGGACTTGCAGCACTTCTTTCATTGGCTACATCCTTTCTTACTTCCACCAGTCACTCTCACGTCCAGTAGCTGCCAACCTCTCCTTAGCAACCAGCCAAACACCCCGTCCAAGCTCTGTCGGTAAAGTTAGAGCCGAAGTCCGCCCTGACCTGATTTCATAGGCTAAGCTTCATGTCAATTATTTTTCCCTAGTCTCCAAATTAGGTCCCAACCTTCCCTCAGCTTCGCCCCCTTTGTTATTCTATTGGCTGTGAACCATCTGCCACAAACCAATCATAGTCAATTGATTAGTTGGCTGAAGACGGGTCCCTGGGCTGACCGAGGGTTAGCGGGAAAACAATTCCAGTCCTGGACGGGGTCCACCGCAAAACACTTGTCTAGTACGTCGAGTCTCCGTGCTGCGCAAGGACCCTACCTGTAACTGCGCTCCTTGTCGTAGAAGAGACCCTAATTCCTGAAAAACCTTGCTCCTGGCTTCCTATTTGAGAGTCCAGTGCAACATATTCTTTATTTGAGCCTCTATCCTGGGTCAGGAATACAGCTAGGTTCCAAGCCCTTTGTGTAGAGCTCGCTCCAGAACACTCTTAATCTTAGAGGGGGACTTGAGCCTAGAAGTACGCTGGTCTCATTTGAATACTCTAGCTTATAAAGTAACCTTGTTCTTAGATGCGGAACCGAGCTCCACAGATCCAGCTATCTCCTTATTCCCAAATGTGAGCTTCATGACAAGAGACAGGGACCAAACTCAGAGATACCCCTATTCTAGTTGGGGGGCCCAGGCTCGATATGCCCTCTAGACCTATTTAGGGACCCAAATTTAGAGACTTCAGCTGAGAATATAGCCCTCAAAAGAGTTCTTCTCTTTGCAAATATTATTCCTGGTGCCAGACGGGGATTCTAGCTCTGTAAAGTTAAGGCGGCACCAGTCCCAATCAGGAACCCCACTTCCGGAGAGTCAGCTACAGCCTCAGTCTCAGACAACGACCCATTCCTGGGGAGCCCCAGTCTACCTAACATCACCGCCTGTGTCCTTGGTTTATAAAAGCCCGCGGGGGATGGGCACCTCCCTGCTGCTCCGCCCCGTCGAGGTCATGCCCCACCGCCCGCCTGAGCCCCGCCCCACTGCGGACGCCAGAGGGCCGGTCCGCTCTTCCCGGCATGCATTGTCCCGGACTAGGCCAGTCGGGCGCCAAGCGCGGGGCTGGAGCGGCCTTCCCGGAATCCTTTGCGCGGTACCAGGCGACAAAATGGCTGCCCGAGGGAGACGGGCGGAGCCTCCGGGCCGGGAGGCGCCGGGCCCCGCGGCTGGCGGCGGCAGCGGGAGCCGATGGGCTGAGTCAGGGCCAGGGACATCGCCCGAGAGCGGGGACGAGGAGGTGTCGGGCGCGGGTTCGAGCCCGGTTTCGGGCGGCGTAAACTTGTTCGCCAACGACGGCAGCTTCCTGGAGCTTTTCAAGCGGAAGATGGAGGAGGAGCAGCGGCAGCGGCAGGAAGAGCCGCCTCCGGGCTCGCAGCGACCCGACCAGTCGGCCTCCGCCGCCGCTGGCACTGGGGATCCGAAGAGGAGGGGCGGCCCGGGCTCCACACTTAGCTTCGTAAGGAGCTGTGGGGGTGGGGGTGGGCGCTGGGGCTTTGGCGGGTGGGGGGAGGAATTGGGGCCTGAGATGGGGGGTGGTATCGGGATCCGGGTCCACTTTCTGCCCCAATGAGGGGGACGTCTGAGGATGTGGAACCTGGTTTTCCCGACGAGAAGTCGGATGTGGAGACCCCTGGAGCCTGCCCGCGGGAACCGGGAGCCCAGTAATTGTACTAGACGTAGCGCTCTGGGGATGGGGATACCTGGATGCCAGGATTCCTCTTTGAGTGGTACCTGGACTTAGATCCTGGGACCACCCCTCACTGTAAGGAAGGGAGAGCAAATTCTAGTCCTAGAGTTGTATCTATTAGATTCAGACCGCTTATATGTAGGACAATTACTTAGGACAACTGTTTGATTTTCCTGAATCTCATTCGACCGTGGTCTATTTATTAAGCACTTTACTTTGTGCTGGGCATTGTGCTAAGTGCTGGGTATGCAGTGGTGAGCATGACAAAAGATAACTGCTTTCCTGGCTTCTGTGGACTGGCCTACCCTATTTTCCCTAGTTGCAAAAGTGGACTTCATAGCATCTTCCTCTGAGGGTTCTGTGAGGTGATCCCAGAAAAATGGTTAGCACGGGGCTTGTCTTCTAGAGGAAAGTCTAAACCAGTGTTTCTTGGTTGGGGACTAGTCGCTGCACCCCCACATTTTGCAAAGTCTGGAGACATTTTTGGTTGTCATAACTGCGGGGAGGGGGTGCCAGTGACATTCGGGTAGAGGCCAGGGATGCTGCTGTACATCCCACAATGGGTAGGACAGAGCCTCCTCCCCCCAAAAAACAAAAAACTAAGAATGATTTGGCTCAAAACGTCATTACTGCTAGGTTGAGAAACTCTGGGCTAAATAAATAGGGCATATATTGATTGTCAGCTCTGAGTTTGCTTTGTTCCTGGTGTTGAGATCTCCCTGTAGTGTGGAGGAAAAAATGTTGACTTAAGAATTAATAGACTAGGGGTTAAGCCCTGGTTCCAGCTGTGGGTTTTTTTTTTTTTTTGATAGAGTTTCAATATGTCACCCTCTGTAGAGTGCAGTGGAGTCATAGCTCACAGCAACCTCAAACTCTTAGGCTTAAGTGATTCTCTTGCCTTAGCTTCCCAAGTAGCTGAGACTATAGGAGCGTGCCAGAACGCCAGCTATTTTTTTTTTTTGCAGTTGTCATTGTTGTTTAGCAGGCCCAGGCCGGGTTTGAACCTGCCACCCTCGGTGCATGTGGCCGGTGCTGTAACCTCTATGCTACAGGTGCCGAGCCAGTAAGTGATCTAATTTTCCAAGCCTAGTATCTTCATCTGTTAAAAACAGGTACAAGACTGTATCTGTCTTAATACCTGGATGAAGGGTGGAGATGGGATGATGTCTGTGCAGCCTGCTTGTTGCAGCCCCTGGAGCACAGGAAACCTCAGTCAATGGGAGATGATGAGATACCCGGGATGTAAGTTCAGAGGAAGACCTCTGTTTGAGGAAAGAGAAAAGTGTTAGGAGGAGAGTTTTATGAGACTTGTGGGTGGAAGCTTAGTTAGTACCCTTCCATGAATGGGATTAGCAGTAATTATCACTTTTTTGTTTATTGAAGGGTATTTGCAGTTGCGCCCTCAAAGAGGCTGGGCCAAGATAGGTGTAGAGGAGACAGTGTTGCTTGGAGTAAGGATGCTACTGCCCACTGGCTTAGAGCCATGTGACCCTGTTGCCAGCATGACCTCTCCTTCCCAAAGACTGTTTCCTCATCTATAAAATGAGGTGGTTATAACCTTCACCTTAGAGTAACTGTGAAAGTGAAAGGAGATGACACACCCACAGTACTCAATACGGGGCTTAGTATTCAGTAAAGGGATTCAGTATGGGGAGCTGTTAACACTTATATGCTAGGGGAACATGAGGCCTTGGCATGGAAAGTGAGGGCAGAGCTGTCCAGTGGTAGGAGCAATTCTTGCTCTCTGGGGGGCAACCCAGGGCCCAGGACAGGTGCTAAGAGTTGCGTGTGCTCCTCTCTGATTGCTGCGCAGGTCGGCCGGCTGGCGGAGCTGGGCGCGGCGTCGGGACGGGCCACCAGGCCGGGCTAGGAAGGTGTAGTGGGCCTCAGCACCGCCAAGGGCGGGCCCGGCTCCTGTAACCGTTGCAGTCTTCTGTCCCTTCACCCAGGTGGGCAAACGCAGAGGCGGGAACAAACTAGCCCTCAAGACGGGAATAGTAGCCAAGAAGCAGAAGACGGAGGATGAGGTGAGCAGGCCAGATGTGGGGGAATCACCCAAGTTCCTTTTCCCTTCCAGCCTTTTCACCCCTTGGTGGAGCCTTCTCTCTCCCTGTCCAGCATCTGGGCTTTGGTTGGGTTTGCTGGGTGGGCTTTCAACATATCCCCAGATAACATGACTTTGCATCTTTACTTCAAACCCAGGGCTTTATGGGTAACATTGGGGTTGGGTCAGCTGCCTCATGACAATCCTGACCCCAGTTTCTGGCCTCCCTGGCATCCCCCTCCCAACTCCTGCCCCCCACAGGTATTAACAAGTAAAGGTGATGCGTGGGCCAAGTACATGGCAGAAGTGAAAAAGTACAAAGCCCACCAGTGCGGCGATGATGATAAAACTCGGCCCCTGGTGAAATGACCCCTCCCCTGCCTGCCCACGGCCTAGGACTCTCTGCGATGTACATAACTATTTAATGCAGCAGCAGCAGCAGCAGCAGCAGCAGCAGCAGCGGCAGCCTTCCCCCAGGACTTAAACGCAGAAGGAAACTGAGATGCTTCCTGCAGCTGCGGCCGATTCTCCAGGACTTTTTTTTACCTTGAGCACTTGCCTCATGAGACTTAATAGTAACAGTGGTTTACTGTCCCCTCTCTTCCCACCTCCTTTCTCCCTCTGGTTCTTTCTGTCTTCCTCTTCTCACCCTCCTCTTTCTTCCTCCCTTTAGCCATCACTTCTGGGAAGTAAAGAACTTGACTTAGTGCCAGAGCTGTGTGCTTGATGTGTCTTTGTGTTATGGAACCTATACTCTTCCCCTGTGGACTGGCACTGAACCCATCAAAGCCCCCATCTGACCTGTAGGAAGGACAGGGACACATGCCCTCCTGTGGGCTGTCCTCAAGACCCATGTCTTCTTAACCCCTTACAGCACCTACCAAGTATGACACCTTAGATGGTGTTTTTCTTCACAGTCCCGGTTTGGCTGGACCAAAGCTGTTATTTGTTCATTCAAGAGAAACTTAAAGAACATATTATGGGGCAGGGCTGTTCTACGTTGCAGGGACACAGTTGTGAGCAGGATAGACCACAGACGAAAAGGAGAAGCCTTTTGGGTGGTAACTGCTAACAAGTATGGTCTAGATGTTAGGAAAGAAAAGTGTCTTTTGGGTGACA